GTGATTGTAATGAGGTTAGCTAGGTGACCTCATAGAATATGAGTTCACTGATTGGCCCAGGTTAAAAGCCCAATCAGGGAGCCTTGGCTAACAGATATAAACAGGAGTCTCCGAGCTGGTTCTGAGCAAGCCAGACCAGTGTCAAGTACCATGCATGCGTAAATAAGGGGTGACCTGGTGACAGGATCCGATCCTCTCTAGAGTTATTTCACTATTGGTTTTGATTTTTATTCTCCAACTTTCTTCCACTCTCCCTTTTCTTTCTTCGGTCTGCTTCAGCTGCTTCATTGAGGTTCCATTCAAGCACCCAGTGGAGCAGCACCCAGTCTTTTGACTCTACATTCTGTAGCCTTTATACTCAATGTTGAGTTAACTTCTGCACCCTCTATGATTTCATGTTCCTTTGTTCGTTTGTCTTTTTCTCTCATTTTCTCTCTATTTCCTTTATTTTGTGTTCAAACATCAGCAATTCAGGATCCTGCCAATCACACATCCTCTGAACACTTTTGTTTCTTTACTGCGCTCATTACCATTCACTTTGGTTTTTGCACTTGGCTTTTGTATTTAATCTCTCCTGTCTTGTACTGTACCACATACCTTCCCTTTTGCTCCCCCCCTCCACTTCTCCTAATTCACATGCTCAAAATCTGCATCTTTGAAGGATACTCTGAGTTAACTTTGAACTAATTTTCTGAGTTTATCAGTCCAATCACTCAGTCAGTTAGGATTTGAGGACAACTGATGTTGCAGGATGTTGATTTCTAACAAGAGTTTGAGATGGGATATAGTATTACCAGTTGCACAACAAAAACATAATAGTAATAAGTGACGCATATTTAGCAAGCTACCAGCTTGCAGCTAGTAAGCTGAGCTGCTCTTTGTCTCTTTGTTTCTTCCATTCTTTGTGATCAAGTCTTCTCAACATTCTGAAACTCTTTGAGAGTGTTTGGGTAAAGGCTTCTGTCAGTGTTATTGTTCTCTGTTAAATGAAGTAAAAACCTCACTCAGTCTCTTACTTCATACTGTTTCATGGGAGGATGCCTGGATGAAATGCAAAGGCCTTATGATCTGAATTTGATTTACTTTTAACTCAAAATACTATTAGTTATCGTGTTCTTTGTCAAAACTTTGGGTTAAACACCCTGTCTATGATGTCAATCTACCCTTCATTGCTCTTGTATCTGCACAAGTATTTTGGCAAAATTCGTAACAATGTTGTAAATGAGTTTGCCTTTAGTAATGAAGAGGACATGTTATAAGGATAATAGAAAGCAGCTGATGCCATTTGGGATTGAAATAACCCTCAGAGGCTGGTATCCCGTCACCAATCACCCTTCATTTACAAATGCATAGCCTTTGACTATGGCATTTATTTTGAGAGGACTTGAATATAAAAGCAGGGATATACTACTGAGGCTTTATAAGGCCCTGGTCAGGCCACATTTGGAGTATTGTGTGCAGTTTTGGGCCCCATATCTCAGGAAGGATGTACTGGCCCTGGAGCGGGTTCAGAGGAGATTCACGAGAATGGTCTCAGGAATGAAAACTTTACATATGAGGAATGTTTGAGGACTCTAGGACTATACTTATTGGAGTTTAGAAGGATGAGGGGGGATCTAATTGAAACTTACAGAATACTGAATGGCCTGGATACAGTGGATGTTGGAAAGATGCTTCCATTGGTAGCAGAGACTAGGACCCGAGGGCACAGCCTTAGAGTAAAGGGAAGACCTTTTAGAACGGAGATAAGGAGGAACTTCTTCAGCCTGAGAGTGGTGAATCTATGGAATTCACTGCCACAGAAGGCTGTGGAGGCCAGGTCATTGAGTACATTTAAGGCTGAGATAGATAGGTTCTTGATTATCAAGGGGATCAAGGGTTATGGGGAGAAAGCGGGAGAATGGGGTTGAGGAATTTATCAGCCATGATTGAATGGCGGAGCAGACTCAATGGGCCGGATAGCCTAATTTCTGCTCCTACGTCTTATGGTCTTATTGACATTAACCTTTGAATGCCTTTCACCCATTGTGCCATGGAAACACCCAGCATGGGTTCATGAAGGGTAGGTCATGTTTAACTAATTTGGTGGAATTCTTTGAGGACATTACTTGCATAGTGGACAATGGGGAACCTGTGGATGTGGTGTATCTAGATTTCCAGAAGGCATTTGACAAGGTGCCACACCAAAGGCTGCTACATAAGATAAAGTTCCACAGTATTACAGGTAATGTATTGGCATGGATAGAGGATTGGTTGACCAGTAGAAAGCAAAGAGTAGGGGTAAATGGGTGTTGTTCTGGTTGGCAGTCAGTGGCTAGTGGTGTGCCTCAGGGATCAGTGTTGGGACTGCAATTGTTTACAATTTACCTAGATAATTTGGAGTTGGGGACTAAGTGTGGTGTGTCAAAATTTGCAGATGACACTAAGGTGAGTGGTAGAGCAAAGTGTGCAGAAGACACTGAAAGTCTGCAGAGGGATATAGATAGTCTAAGTGAGTGGGCAAAGGTCTGGCAGATGGAGTACAATGTTGATAAGTATGAGGTCATCCATTTGGTAGGAATAACAGCAAAATGGACTATGTTTTAAATGGTAAAAAATTGCAGCACGCTGCTGTGCAGAGGGACTTGGGTGTCCTTGTGCATGAATCGCTAAAAGTAGGATTGCAGTTGCAGCAGGTAATTAAAAAGGCAAATGGAATTTTGTCTATCATTGCTAGAGGGATGGAGTTTAAGAACAGGGAGGCTATGCTGCAGCTGTATAGAGTTCTGGTGAGGCCACACCTGGAGTACGCAGTTTTGGTCTCCTTACTTGAGAAGAGATATACTAGCACTGGAGAGGGTGCAGAGGAGATACACTCGGTTGATTCCAGAGTTGAGGGGTTGGATTATGAGGAGAGACTGAGTAGATTGGGATTATACTCATTGGAATTCAGAAGAATGAGGGGAGATCTTGTAGAAACATATAAGATTATGAAGGGAATAGGTAAGGTGGGGGCAGGGAGGTTGTTTCCGCTAGCAGGTGAAACTAGGACTAGAGGGCATCGCCTCAAAATAAAGGGAAGCAGATGTAGGACTGAGGTCAGGAGGAAGTTCTTCACCCAAAGGGTTGTGAATCTGTGGAATTCCCTGCCCAGTGAAGCGGTTGAAGCTATCTCGCTGAATGTTTTTAAGGCAAGGCTAGATAAATTTTTGAACAGTAAAGGAATTAAGGGTTATGGTGAGTGGGCAGGTAAGTGGAGCTGAGTCTCAAAAAGATCAACCATGATCTTATTAAATGGCGGGACAGGCTTGAGGGGCCAGATGGCCTACTCCTGCTCCTAGTTCTTATGTTCTTATGCCTTTCACCCAAGTCAGGCATTCAGTGGGCATAATATCCCTCACATTCGTCCTTTTATGTCGGCCAGGACTCCCTGATTGGACCAAATTAACAGCGCCAATTAGCAAACTCGTACTCTTCTGAGGTCCAGCTGGCTGACCTCATTCCAATCATTACAGGATTCCAATTACTATATTTGTGTGCTGTTTTTCCTTATTGTGTAAAACAAAAGTGCTGGTTTTCCCCACAAGTGATTTGATGATATAGAAAAGAAATGTTCATTTGTGTGTAAGAGCACTTCAGAATTTGTTTTAAAATGTGCTGGTTTTCAGAGCTAAGGGTTTTGTGCAACAATGGTATTGCCCCTGCTTTTGTGCCAGGAGGCCTCCGTTCAAGTCGCACAGAGATTTGTAATAACATCTTTGAACAGGTTGATTAAAAGAAAAGTGCTGAATTGCTCCAGTAAAGGAAGGTGGTTAGGAAAAGGGAGAGAGCAGACTGGACTTTGAATTAAAATATGAAGTGCAAACAAACTGTCGTGGAAGACAGACTGACTCCTGCTTTGGTAAATGGACGATCATGAATGTGACATTACTACCTCATCTTTTCCTTATCCTGTCTTAAGCTGTCTTTCCTAGACTGGTGCCATCATCCCATTCGTTCCTCTATCAGTTAGTTACTGTTCTTGAACCTTATCAGGCTGGTGTACTGGGCTGTTACATGCTGCAGACATGCTTCAGGCTATCTCAACAAGCTTCAGGCTATCTCAACAAGCATCTTTATCAAGCAAGATCCAATGAAATGTCTAGTCCAGCTTGTTACTTTTTCCAACCATGTTTTTATTAGTTCAAACTAGCCAACCTTATCAAAGAATAATGATTTCTCTAGCCTCATTTCAATGACAGTGAAACCGTAAGCAATTCCTACTAAAAAGGAACTTAAGGTACAAAGTATTCAAGCAATAATCCAACTGCTTACCTATTTCAAGGTATATTTATATAAATCACATGTGTATTTCCAGTTTTTTTCTCAGTTTTTATTGGCATTATTAACTTGAACTGTTCATTCTGTTCTTCTCCAAAGATGCTCCCTGGCTTGCTGGTATTTGCAGTATTTTCTAAATTTTTGTCAGTTTGACCATGATCCTATTGAATGACAGAGGAGACCGTAAGGGTTATGTATCCGACTGGTTCTCCTGTTTCTTACGTTGCAGTATCCAAGGTTACCCACTCAGATTTCTGTGACATCTATAATGAAGTTAGAGGGGGTTCAGTTGAAAGTGGCACATATAAACAATGCAAATTAGGAGCAGAAATAGGCCATTTGGTTCCTCAAAACTTCTTTATACAAATGGTAAATGGAAGTCAGGAACTCGGTCCCTCAAAAAGTTTTTGATGCAGGGAGCATGGATGTTTCTAAAATAAGGTTGATAGACTTTTGTTGAGTAAGGGTGCCAAGGCAGGTTAACGGAGTAAAGAAACAGATCAACCATGATCAAATTGAATGGGAGAATATGCAGGGGGGACTGATAGGCCTCCTCTTGTTTCTAAGTTCTTAAATATTGCTTGTGCTAGTCATATTTGGAAGAGTCTACATTAAAAGATGGGCTACAGTTGAGCTAATGATTCCAGTGGAAGCACAAGTAGTCGCAGAGAAGTCTAATTGTGTTTCAATCTCTGTTCCAGGTCCGATACCTGTCCGGCTGGTGGATGGTTCCACCACGTGTTCTGGGAGAGTTGAAGTCTATCGTAACTCCATCTGGGGAACCATCTGTGACAACGGCTGGAATTTAAATGCAGCAAGTGTGGTCTGCAGTGTGTTGAACTGTGGGAAGTCCTTGTCAGCAACAAGAAGCGCTTACTTTGGAGAAGGGAGCGGGGTCATCTTGTTGGATAATGTGAGTTGTAATGGGATGGAGACTGCCCTCTATCAATGCTCTGCCAACACAAAGGTGGGATATAACTGCACACACAAGGAGGATGCTGGAGTCATCTGCTCAGGTGAGCAAAACAGGTTACTGTTCCTACGTATGTTAAGTTCTCAAACTGAATTCAAAATCTAGCTTGTTGGTTTTCTAGCCTAGCCTCCTAATTGTTTCTATGCCCAGGCCTCTACACTACCAGTCCAGACCCCATGATTACTAATACAGGCGTCAGGGTTACTAGTCAGGACATTGCATTTCTTAGCCAGGCCTCTGGCTTACTACTCTGGACTATAGGTTACCAGTCCAGCCTTCTAAGTCATTAGTTCAGGCCTTTGGTTTATTAATCCATGCTCTGGATTACGAAACCAAATCTCTGGGTTACTAGTTGGGGTATATGGATACAGTATGCTTCAAAATCTCTGGTGGGTTTATTTAAAACTGAACTAGCACAGACATTACAGAGTAATCTCTAGTCATTGTCTATGTCTGGGATGCTGCAATACAGAGTGTCTATGGCCTCTAGTCACATGATGCCATCCCAGTACAGGCTCATCTGCATGTTAAATGGACATCACTCTTAAAGCATTAATACTCAAAACCTTTCCTTCCCCCACAAAATAACTCTTAAATGCTACAAGTGAATGTGCGTGAACATTGCATATTAGCAAAATTACTTGTAAGTAGATAGGGATTGTAAAATTTGCATACAGAGATAATGATTGTACAGCGGCCGAAGTGTACCTAAATCGTTTTGGTGATTTGACAACTCTTCCGGATCATTTTGTGATGTAACTTTCTTGATGTAACTTTGACCGTTAACTGCCGCTGATTTATCGGTATGTTGCCAGTGTATTAGATGGTTGTTGTCCCAGTGTTCCAACACACTGTTTGTTTATCCTTAGTTATAAGTATGACATAAATGCATTACTTGGATTTTGTTTATTAAAGATAAATTATGGGTTTATTTACGACTAATCGAGTACAGATAATACAGCGTTATCTCCAGCCACCATCCAGGGTTGTACAGAGTGGCTGTGGTCTCTAGTTATATGTTGCAGATAGAAGTTTGCAAATTGGGAGTCTGACACCCAGGCTATGATATCCAATCAGTGACTCTAATCATAGCCTAGCCCAAACCTGTTTAACCATGTTCCATCTGTATTCCAGGTCCAATACCTGTACGACTAGTGAATGGTACCCACATGTGTTCTGGCAGAGTTGAGATCTATCGTCAATCTTTCTGGGGAACTATCTGTGACAATCACTGGGATATAAATGCCTCAAGTGTGGTCTGCAGGATGTTGAACTGTGGGAGGGCTCTGTCTGTACCAAGAGATGTCTATGGAGAGGGGACTGGAATCAGCTGGTTAGATGATGTAAGGTGTAATGGGACAGAGCCTACCCTCGACCAGTGTTCTGTCAATCCACAAGTGAGAAATAACTGCACACATAGTCGGTATGCTGGAGTTGCATGCTCAGGTGAGCAGAGTGACCTGCTTGATGATTGTGTTTCAATCTGCTCCATGTGTACATTTTACGTGTTCTTATTTCAACTTAGAATTCTGTGTATGCTGTCAAAATGTTGTCTCTGTAACAATGAAGGAGACTAATGTAGACTAGATTACCACTTTGCTGAATACTTCCATCCAGTTTGCAAGTGTGACTTTGATCTTCCTGTTATCTGCCATATTAATTCTTCCCTTTGCCTTGACTTTATCATTTCTGTTCTCACATTGCCACTGTGTTCCAGTGAAGCACAATGGAAGCTCAAGAAACAGTATTGCATTTTTTGACTCAGCATTCTACAGTCTTCTGGACTCAACCTTGAGTTCAATCATATTAGATCATACCTTTTGATTCAGTTTTTTTGTTCTGATTTGGTATTTTCTCTCATGTTCGATTTTCAGATGGCAGCTATTTATCATATTATAATGTACATTTCATTTAGACATATTGTTTATTTATCACCAAGAAAAGACACATTTTGTCAAAGCTTTTTGTCTTGCAGTCATCAAGACATTTGCAACAAACCACGAATAAAAGAAAACAACTTTTCTATAATACATGAGAAGACTGCTGATTGTTTGGAAAGTGAATTCTGATCAGGAGACAGGTTGCCATTGAGAATGCGCCAGTTAGATGGTGACTTACAGTTAACTGCTAAGCTGTTTCTAAATTTAAACCAAGACAACAAGGTGCAGGGCTGGATGAACACAGCAGGCCAAGCAGCATCATAGGAGCAGAGAGGCTGACGTTTCGGGCCTAGACC